AAACTGCTTGTGAAAAAACGGAAAATACACCTTTTGATATTGTAGACGAGAGTATTTTTCTTCAAATTCTAATTATTATACTTCATTAGTAAAAGGATGACACAGCAAGAAGTGACTTCATTTAGATAATTAGTATATCTTCTGTTTTGATAGGTTCTCTTTTCTGTAGCGTGTATCCGGCCCATCTCAAGCAGTTCGTCGGTTATCAACAGCAACCTTCTTTTTCTTATAACATCTCATACCATACCGTCCCCTCGTTCAGAAAAAAAGGGATTTTGACTGGAAAATTGCCGCCGTAACTGCTAAGCTTTCTGAAATTGTCTACCAATGGGAGACATTTACATAGTGCTAGTCAGTAGCCAAGAATCTTTCACAGACGCGGATCCAGGGATTTTTTATTGGGGGGGGGGGGTCCAAACTTTGGCTCAGAAAGGACTGTTGGACTCTTTGAGGCAAATTACTTCTCCCCCACACCCCCTCCCACCAGTCGCGGTTGCACGTTATAATTCCTTGGCCGCTACCGTTTATTTGGATTCATTAAAAAAATCAGCCTGTTAAAAGTGATATACGATCCTGTCTCACAGTTGTAAGCGTCAGGTTTGATGGGGGGGTCCGGACCCCCCGGACCCTCCCCCTGGATCCGCCACTGTTTCAAAGAAAGGTTTGCCTTTACCGTGGTAAGATAAGTAATTTATGTCAGTGGACCGTGTTAAAAAAATTCTGAGTAGCACCTACCTTTTCCACGAACGCACAACGTTTCTCGAAATGCTGATTTTCCAAAAATGAGACAAGCACAGTTTAAGCACGTTCGAGGAATCTGATTAACCTCCATTATGTTATGGTCACTTAATTTCCAAAAGCTTAGCTGCAAAATTAAAATTTACAAATATCAAATGATTCTCCCCGATTTGTAAATCGGCTATTTGAAAACAAACAGAGCCCACACTCAAGGAAATAATACAATCGAATATGCGCAGAAGTGAACCTTGTCCTAATTAAGGACTTTTTTATTTATCATAAACTCAGCTTGAGATCTAGGAACAGTGAAAAATGTTTATAGAAATTTTCCCCACAATTCTTAGAGAATGGCGTTACTTCTACCATGAGGACAAGATTTTCCGCTTCAGTCGAAATCGATGGCTTCATTCTTGTTTATCAAAATTATAAACTGCATTTACATTTATTGCTTCTATCGAGTGCCTTTTTGTTCGTCGACAAAATTTCATTATTAATTCTTCACGAACTGAAGCCCGAATTTCGAACAAATCATTTCATAGGAAAACGAAGAAATCGGTAAATTAACGGATAAATTCTGTGAGATTCCAATGACGTACCTTTTCAGACCCTTTTCAAGCCATTGGTAGCATGATTTGCGACGTCAAGGCAATCTTTTTGCGTGGTAAGCGCAGTTAATGAAGTACGATGGAAGTTACAAGACCATTCACATCGATAATCAACTGTCCGTGAATCGTAAAATAACCGCTTCAGAGATAAACATGTTTGTCAGGCCTCTTCTTTAGTGCTGATATATTACACTGTATTGAACAGGAGACAGAATTAGCATATTTCCATGGATGAAATAGCCTTTTCAATCAAATAGTACACTGACATCATTATCTCATACGTTATCTTGGTCTCTTGACAACCGCACAAAACTTGGAGCTTGTCAGCAGGTGAATAAACACACTCCAAGGCGAAACTTTAAGAAATCAAGAAAAGCTCAACCGCAGGGATAACAAAAAATAAATAAATAAAACTTGAGAGACTACAAGGAAATTATGACGAAAAAAGTTTTGTTGCTTTTCATTCGCATTTGTTTAGAGGGGAGGGGGATTTGCTGGCGTTTTATGCTTATACTGAGCAATTGGCGTTTCTAGACCTCAATAAGACCTCGACGGGACCATTCAACCATTGTCTCGTGAGTCGAACGAAAAAGTGTGGGAGTTATTACGAAGTTTTATTCACACAAGGCCCTGTACCATTACGTTGATCAAATATATAAATCCCCATGGCGGTTGACGGAAATATTGGGCTAGAACGTAAAGAACTATGACTGAAAATAGCATTCTTGACGTCATATCATAGATAAGCTAATCGATCACGTAAATCTCTTCTTAAAATAGAGGGTCACTTTAAAATAAAATTATATATTTTAACTTTGTTGCGGAAACTGTACAGCGATTAAGACGTTAAAAAAGAGGAAATAATGGTAATGATACTAAGTTTGTCATTTTGTTATCCTCATGGTAGTCAGAACACCAGGGTTGTTGTAAACTGTCAGTAGTATCGACCCAGGCTGGGTTGTTCAAAGATGGATTAAGATAACCCAGGGTTAGTGTGAAATTTGATTTTAGATCTGAAAGCTTCATAAGAAAATTCAGTGTAATTCCATTTGTCTAAAATTTGATGATCGATTGTTCTAAAAAGAATTGGGAAAATCATTCCAAAACTGCTTTTGAACAGAGAAATATAGAAACCGGGATTGAAATTTAACCCTGGGTTAGCACTAATCGGCCTGCGAACAACTGGGCGTATAATTTTAAACTTACGGTTATTGAAAAAGTTAGAAGTCAAAATCAAGAGATCAGAAAAGGAAGGAAAAATTGTTGGATTTTAAGACTCAATCCTACTCTCAATAAGCTTACTACATGAATCATAACTATTTTAATTTATCTATTTTAGTCACTATAACACGTTTCGCTATTATCAATTCTATTTTTATATTATTACGTCATGACATGTTAACTGTTGACACGAATTTAAAAGTTGAATATTGCGCATGTAATTAGTATGCTCCTGAGGAAGACCGAGACGATCGAAACGTCGAGCTAATAAACCAACGAAGCTACATTGGAGTTGGCCTCTTGACCATCACATTTCTGCTTTTATTTAGGTTATTTCAAGAGCCCACGATCGCTTCAGTGATCCTCCAGGCAGCGCGTTTGAGACTGATCAGCATTGTTTGTGGGACCCCTTACAAGTTTCTACTTATAAGGGAACAAAAGGAATGAGCTGGCGAGTGCGTGCTGGGACTCAACTAAATACTTGATAAGGCATGCTTGAACCACCAACTTATAAAAGGATCGTTAGTCAACCAGTACTTTAACTTTATGCACCCGCCCAGTTAGCCCAATGGATAGAGCGCTGGTCTGTTGTGCGGGAGGTCGAGGGTTCAAGCCCCGGCCGGACCAACACTCAAGGTCTTAAATTAAATGAGAAGAATTTGCTACCTTTCTATAACATCAAGAAATGGTTAGATATTCTAGTCTTCTCGGATAGGGACGAATAAATGGAGGTCCCGTCTCCTGCAGGGTTGGGGTAGGAGACGTTAATTTCCCACACACGAGATTACTGTGTGATGGATGTCCTCCCCTGGGGTGGGATGGGTGGGATATAGGGCGCACTTAATTTGGAGCCTCGCTCTGTTGTGCGACCCTCACCACACTCTGGTGAAAGTGATTAAATAAATA